TTCACTCTTTCAGCATAACACCTACTCTTCAAGACTTAGAGCCTTCTACCTTATGCAATTATCAACTTAGTGTTGAGAAAGGCCAGTTTGACTGATGTAGTGGAGGAGGCTTGGAAGCTTGTATACGTGAAAAAATCGGTATGAGAGAGGGTATTGTAATTGAAATAGAAGAACTTTACAGACTGATTTGTTTTTTTAACATGAAGTTGAGGATCTTTGAAAACTATGGAGCATTTTGTCCCATTTTCTTTGTTGGAAGGCTATATAAAATCAAGCTGATTGGAAAGCCGTGAATCTGAATCTTGGCAGCTCAGCTATCAAAGGGATCCTGACTCATGCCTGAAGTTAAATCCTCAAGAATATATCTGTACTAGGAAGGTGGAGTCACGGGGCCCATCCGGTCTGATTTTAGCTTCTCAGCATTTCTCTAGGGTCCTTTAAGAGCCAGGAAAGGGTGGAAAGGGGGAGGGTAACAAGAATTCCGTGTAGCATACTTGTCAAGTGATGCATTTCATGAATCACTATTGAGAGTTTGACTTACAAGACACAGAGGACTCTATCATATAACATTTGTTACTGGTAGCAATGAATGTTCTGGCTGGAATAGCCTCTTTCACTCACTGGACTTTCTGCTATTTTGGAATGGGGATTGAAGTCCACAAGTAACCTTTACTGGTAAAAAAGCAAGCTAGTGACTGGGTGCAAGCCTTTCTAGACTCTGCAACTAGTAAGAAAGTGGGCTATGTATACAAAGACTCTCCACTAAGTTACCAACTTGGAAGGCCCCTGCTGACTTTATAGATATCAGAGCTGGGCACAGATTCTCCACTACATATCCTTAGAAGTGTTAAATCCTACCTTAATACCCTGCCATTGCTATATGAAAATTCTCAGACACTTTTAAACAAAGATTATACCTTTTTATTTTGCAAAGTCCTCACTTTATCTTCAGCCTTGGCCCCCACTTCCTAAGTTTCCAGGCCACTGTATTTGTTTTTTTAAGAAAGTGCACCTAGAGAAACTGGAGAACATTCAAGTAAACTTAGTCGTTGGGGGTATCTGGTCAATTTTTTTAGTCTGAGTGAGTGACCTTAAAATTCATAAATAAAACCAGTTAACCTGGATTTTAGTTCATTTAGCTTTGAAAGGTGTGGAGCAGGGGGAATCATTCTAAGTTTTGAGAAAAACATATGTAAAGGTATTTTAGGAGCCCTAAAGGAATATATACTTACTGTGTGTTCACACCATCATGTGTGCAGCTATTTTGTTCCTGGTTATAAATGTATATTTAAAGATGGAAAGGAATCACTTAGCTGTCAACACCACCTCTGATATTGTTTATCTCCTCGCCTGTTCACAAGCCCTCAAAGCTCTATTATAACTAGGACATTCTCCCACTATCTGTTACCTCCTTACAACATTAAGAATGATAATATGAAAATTCACCTGCCTAGCTCTGTCAACGATGTGAAAGCCTGCAGTTCACTCTGCAGTGTGCCCTTTTATCCAGTGTGCATTTGTGTACACCTATGTTGGTGACCTGCTCTATCCGTTCGTTCTTACCTGTCTGTAGAATAGTGTGACACTCACTCTTGTGACCTGCAGCCTGGCTTAGTGAGGCTGCTAAAAACAGAGCCAGTGGGGCTTTCTGTTAACTGTCGTCCCTCTGCCACCTCCTGAGATGAAAGACACTCTCTGGCACTACTGGGAAAGCCAGTATTAGGCGTTGGTTCTGAAAGCCAGTGTTTACATTCATAAAACAAGATTAATAATTTCTACCATACAAGAAAGCTTTTGTGATAATTAATTGAGACAGTCAAACCCAGCATAGCCTCGACATGCAAAGCCTAGTGCTGAGGTGACATCTGCTGTAGCTGCACGCTGGGATGACATCTGTCGGGGTCCAGTCTTGACGGGCTTATCTGTTTCAGGGTAGGGGCATGTGGATTAGAAATGTTAAGGAAGAGGTAGAAAGAAATACAGAGACATGGGATAGTACTGGAGGGCAACCCAGTGAATACTGAATATGTCCATGTTTATTTTCCATATGCTTATACCTCAATCCAAAAAGGAGGAAGAAGGCAGAAGACTGCTTTAGCATGACTCAAAGGACAAACAGAACAATCACTTGCTTCAATACCTGAGACATCAAGCTGCTATTTTCTGAGTTGAGCATTCTGATGTGTTAGGCAGGATGTGCAGTGACAACACCTTAGATCCAGTATCCTGTAGGCAACCACTCCCTGGGTCAAACCTCCTGCTTTGAAAATGAAGGAGGAGGAATAGGCTTGAATTATCTGACCTTTGGTCAGTGTGGAGTGAATCCACCCCGATGGGCCATCTTAATATTCAAAACACCAAGTAACCACACCCTAGGTCAGGATATCTTGTTTGTAGCCACTCCTTAAGTCAGACTTCATGTCAATAACTTTGAAAGAGCAAGAGAAGGCTTAGCTCTCTGACCTCAGTCAAGGTACAATGGACCCACTTCTGTGGACCTCCACAGGGGACTGGCTTACTGTGATGTCTAAACTGGAGGATTATGCAGCCTGAAGCAAGTAATGATGATCTTAATTTATGTTCTATATTCTTACCATATCTCTAGTTTAACTAGTAATTTTGCTTTTTAAAAAAAGATCACAGTAATTGTGTTTTACTTCTAAAAAGTAGTCCTGTATATACCAGAAATTCTGAGGTTTATCTTCTACCAAATTGAAAAGTATTACTTTTGTTGCACCTTTCACGGAGTGAAAAAGCTTGAATTCTTCAAATTATGAAATAGGTGCACTATTTATAATACCTAGATTCTGTTCTCTATACAACTGGAAAGGAATCACTATCTGGCATCTCTATCTATCTATCTATCTATCTATCTATCTATCTATCTATCTATCATCTAGCTAGCTAGCTAGCTAGCTATTTATCATCTATCTATTATCTATCTATCTATCCATCTATCTATCTAGCTATCTATCATCTAGCTAGCTAGCTAGCTATTTATCATCTATCTATTATCTATCTATCTATCCATCTATCTATCTAGCTATCTATCATCTAGCTAGCTAGCTATTTATCATCTATCTATTATCTATCTATCCATCTATCTAGCTAGCTATCTATCATCTATCTATCATCTATCTATCTATCTATCATCTATCTATCTATCATCTATCTATCTATCTATCTATCTATCTATCTATCTATCTATCATCTATCTATCATCTATCTATCTATCATCTATCTATCTATCTATCTATCTATCTATCTATCTATCTATCATCTATCTATCTATCTTCTATCATCTTTCTTTCTTTGAAACAGGGTTTCTCTGTATCTTTGGAGCCTGTTCTGGAACTAGCTCTTATAGACCAGGCTAGTTTTGAACTCACAGAGATCCACCTACCTCTTCCTCCCAAGTGCTGGAACTAAAGGTGTGTGCCACCACCGCCCGGCTCTAGCATTTCTCTTTCACTTTTCTAAATGACTAATAATTGCACTGAGAATTCTGAAGTTCTGTTGCCACCCAACTGTGCTGCTACATGGCAAGCCGACTTGTGATTTAAAATTTAGAACAAAGGCACACATGTTCTCTTAAGCTTTAAAAAAAATCTGGACAGCAAAACATTTAACTGAGTATTCTGGTTGAAGTCTCTTGTGTGTTAAGAAACTTGAGTGACAGCAAATAACCACTTTGGCCTATAGAGAGAATTAAAACTAATGTAAATGCCGCTGTGGAAAGCACAGGACTTGTGACAGAACGGCTGACAGACCCAGTTTAGGCTAAGGATGAAGAGAGACTTCTGTATGGACATGACCCCCCTCCCAGGTGACAGCCAATGGAAAGGCAGCCATGAGTCAGAGAAGATACAAAGGTTAAGAGGCAATATTTATCTGTGTATTACTTCCTGATCCAGAAAAGATTGTGACAGTAAATATGTATTGTTTCAGCTTGGATTTTCCAGGGAGAAAAAGATACTGAGACAGGATTGCTTCCAAGGGAGCATCCTTGTGAACAATATCTGAAGAAAGCAGAATGAAGAATGCAGATTTAATGGGCAGGGCTGCAAAAAAAAATTGTATAATAGCAACACAGACCCCAAACCAGCTTTGATTGACTGTCTGTGAGCATTAGGGGTAACATTGACTGTTAGAAGAATCTCCTGGTGGACCAGAATGGTGGGACCTTTATAAGCCCTCTCTTTCATATCAGTTGAGGATGTAAACACTTTGGAAGATGTGTCCAGACATTCTGATGGTTGAAGGTGTTCTAAGAAAACAAATTCTTCCTTGAAGTGGGTCTGAGCGGCACATCATCATACCCACCACAATACTCAATTTTATAGAAGGCTTTTACAAGTAAGCAGGAAATAAACCAATAATACAATAGAAGACAAAAGGAGAGAATTTGCACATTAGAAAAATCACAGATTATCAACAAATAAATACTAAATTTGTTCAAACATTGTTGGGAGAAATGTCTTTTGTGGTTTAGTTTCATCGTTTATGTATTGCCTTGGCAACAGCATTTCTATTCGTTGTACAATAGTTGATGACAGTCTCTCTGGATATGACATACTTCTTTAAGATGGTTCATTAGAATATATTGTAACCAGGGGGAATTCCCACAATGTGTGTGGGCGGAATATAATACTATTAATTGATAAATACATGTGACTAAGTAAATTGGAAAAGAAAAAAAGAAACTTGAGTGAGCTGGAGAGATGACTCAGCAAAAAAACTCTTAGCTGCCATTCATGAGGACCTGAGTGCAGATCCGAGCACCTATGTAGCTAGCCATGCATCCTGCAAACGTGTGTAACCTTAGTCCTGAAATATCCAGTGGTGTTTTCTGGGTTCAGACATACATGTGCCTGTATACACATGTGCAAATACACTAATAGAGCTGCATGTACATGTAAGTGAAATGAATCTTAGAAACTTAGAGTTATGTTTTGCATATCCCTGTGTTTCTCAAACATCGTATTTTTATTATTCAACAGATTTTATACAATTCGATATAGAGAAAAAGATAAAGAAAAGAAATGGATTTTTCAACTCTGTCCAGCTACTGAAACAATTGTGGAAAATCTCAAGCCCAACACGGTATATGAATTTGGTGTAAAAGACAATGTAGAAGGTGGAATTTGGAGCAAGATTTTCAACCATAAAACTATTGTTGGAAGTGAGTATCCTCTTGATCCAATATAGCGTTCATTCTTTTCTAATTGGTTAGTTTAAGTCACTTCACTAGCTGTATAATATGAGATAAATTCATTTCCAATAGCTAACATGTTCTAGTGTTTAAGAAAATACAAAATGAATAGAATTTAAATATTGATATTTCAGAATTTTTTATAATGTGATTTTTCTGAAAATAGATAATGAACATGGTGGCTCCAGTCATTATAGTATTTTAAAATATATCTTTGATGTATGAACAGAAGATGAGCTAAACAAATGCAATGCCAGTATTTGTAATATCACATGGGGTGCTAGGCAGTGGAGGTGGACACAGCCTGCTACGGGAGCCCTGAACGTCTCTTTCTTACCTATGTACTCACACATGAATACTTCAAATGATAGTAAATGAAGCTCCATGCCAAAATAGAGTGTAGCTTGGAATTATCCCCACGGTGAGCTAGAATTAAGGAATAAGAAGAATAAAAGTAATGACATTTCCTTCTTATTTTCAGGTAAAAACAAAGTAAACGGGAAAATCCAAAGCACTTATGACCAGGTCCACACGGTGGTAGGTGCTGATTTATCTTTTTAAGATTTATCTTTAAAAACGTTCATAGCTGTGTTATGTTTCTACTTAGATGTAGGAGATCACCCTACCTTGAGGTACTGAGGTTATCTACTGGACACTGGGTGAAATGCTCAATGATTTAGGAATTAGCTGCCTTTTGTTTTGAAAATGATAGAAATAAGCTCCCAAACCCTTCCTAGTTTGTTTGAAGCTCTCCAATTCAAAGAGTCAATGCAGTAATTCTGGTTATTTATTTGAATATTTTAGAGTATTTTATGATTTTGTTCATTCTGCCTGTGTGCATTTGTGTGTGTGTGTGTGTGTGTGTGTGTGTGTGAAAGAGAGAGAGAGAGAGAGAGAGAGAGAGAGAGAGAGAGAGAGAGAGAACAACATATGTGTGCAGGTGCCTGTGGAGGCCAGAAGAGGGCATCAGATTCCCTGGAACTGGAGGTAAAGGCAGCTCTATGAGCCACCTAGTGTGCTGGTACTGGGAATCAAATCCAGGTCCTCTAGAAGAGCAACAATCTTTATTATTGTAGATAATTATAGATTGTTTTTTATGTAACACTTTAAGAGCTTATGGATAGCTACATGTTCTAGGTGCACTGATAAAGTTCAAATTGTTCTGGTTTGCAATGATAAACAGTCAGCTTGGTTTTGAAACGTGCCCAGCCTTTGCTCAGTTCAGTAAATGCTTGTGTGTGTGTTTTGAGCCTTACAGTTTCCAGTCCTTACTGATGCTCTGAAGGGTTACATGCTTTCACCGTTTTCTCTCAGTTCAGCCAGTGTGTCCCCAGGAATCCTTCAAATCAGTCATGGATAATGTAAGACATTGTTAAAGCCATCAGTGGAAGAGGTGTTAGCATTTCACATCACATGCTCAAGTGTAAGGTGAAGCATGCTACATTGCTGAGCAGATAGAAGGGGCACCAGGGTGAGAAAATTAGGAATTGGATACTGACTTGATTGACTGTGTCACTTGGACCATGCTATCCCATCTCTATTGCTCCCAGCTCTCTTACCTTGACAGTTGTCCCATTTTACTTTCTTTATAGTTATAGTTACTCCAGGATATGTACTCCTATCTGAAGATTTGGAACTAGGAGCCCCCAATGGGAGAGAACATGTCACACTTGTTTCTCTGGGTCTGGGTACCTAACTAGTTTATTTCTAGTTCCATCCACTTACCTGCAAAGTTAATGATTTCATTTTTTTCCACTGAATAGTATTCCATGGTGTATATATTACCACATTTTCATTTCCTATTTGTCAGTGGAAAGAAGGGCATTTAGGTTGTTTCTGTTTCCTAGCTATGGTGAATAGAGCATCAGTGAACATGGCTGAGCACATATCTGTGGAGTCAGATGCTAAGTCTTTTAGACATCTGTCAAGGAGCAGCATAGCTAGGACATATGACAGATTTATTTTTAGCATTTTAAGAATTATTTCCATAGTTGCTGGACCTGTTTGCAGTTCCACCAAGAGTAGATGAAGTTTCCGTTTTTCCAGTATCTGTTTTAGCATTCATTGGTTTGTCCCTTGATCCTTTTGTTCTGACTGACATAAGATGAAATCTCAAAGTTGTTTTGATTTGAATTTCTCTAACAGTGAGGGACAATGAACATTAAAAAAAATATCTCAGTAGGATGTGTTTTATAAAATTATATACAGAAAGGTTTTTTGAAATAGTGGATACTCCAGATTTTGGGCTAGGATAGTACTATCTTCTTACTTAACTGTTCCTTAACTAGAGTAAAGTGACCTTTATCTTTTCTGATTAGTTTAAGTTTGATTTAGTCTACCTTGTCAGCTGTCAGCTGTTAAGACAGTGATGCCTACTTTCTTCCTGGCCTCGTTTCACCTTTTTACTCTAAATTTGTGCCTATCTTTAAAGCCAAATGTGTTTCTTGTAGATAATGGGTAGGTGAATTTTGTTTTTTTGATCCATTTAGCCAGCCTGTGTAGAAGGAGCGGAGGGCCGCTTCCCGCCACCCAGCTCCCAGCCACCAGCTCCCAGCCACCAGCTAGCTTTACCCAAAATAATTACACGGAAACTGTATTCATTTAAACACTGCTTGGCCCATTAGCTCTAGCCTCTTACTGGCTAACTCTCACATCTTGATTAAACCATTTCTATTAATGTGTGTAGAACCATGAGGTGGTGGCTTACCGGGAAGATTCTAACCTGCGTCCATCTCAGAGAAGAGAGCTATGGAGTCTGACTCACTTCCCTTCTTCCCAGCATTCTGTTCTGTCTACTCCACCCACCTATGTTCTGACCTATCAGGCCAAGCAGTTTCTTTATTAATTAACCAGTGAAAGCACACATAGAAAGAAGACCCACCTACATCAAGCCTGTGTCATCTAATTGTAGAACTGGGGCCATTATATGTATTTATTGCTGATGTTGATTTGGGTGGTTTGTGTTCTCAGTATCACTTTACATTTCAGTAACTAGACCTTCATTTTCCTTCCATCTCCACAGACTTAAGTTCTCTTCATTGTGTCTATGTCTTTATTGAATTCCATTTTTAAATTCTGTATTTTCTTCATCATTCCCATCTGCCATAGGTTTGTGTTTCTTGGGCATCACTGAGGTGTTTATCTCTTTAAGAACATTGATCTGCTGCTTTGTGTCTTCTTTACACTCACTGAATTCCCTTTACACTCATTAAATTGCTCAGTTTCCAGGTTATAGGCATTTTAATTATCTCTGATTGAGTTCTAACTTGATATAATTAAATTCCTATTAACAGTTTAAGTTTTTAAGGCTCTTTAGTATTAATGGGCAAATTTCTTTCTAAGATGATTATTTCAACTTACGATCTTTCAAGTAGGTAACAAGCGTTTATCCTGCTTATTGATAGTGTGTATTTCTATTGCTAACGTTTTGCTTAACATAATAGTTTCAAAGTTACAATGATTTCCATTTCTATGAATACTGATAAATTGGTACTATCTTTGCTTTGTTTTCCATTTAGTGGCCATTAGTTGGGGCTCTTTGTTAATTGGGAAGTGTGTGATTTTTTTCCTGATTAGTTTAAAGACTTCATAGACTAAAGAATCTTTAGTCTATGACATAGACAAAGAGCCCTTTGTAATGTCATCTAGATTTTTTCCCTTACATTTGCCATCAACTTTGTTGGTGGCAATTGTTGAGAGTCTCATCTTAAAATGTGCTGTATCCAGAGATTAGACTTCATCATACCGTCAGTTGTGTTCTAGTTTTCAAGGCCTTTCCCTCTTCATACAAAAGATGAATATACATCTCCCTTTATAATTTTTGGTTTTGCAACAGTTAAGCTCTAAACTCCATGGGTTTCCCTTCTCTGTCGTGTCCAATAAGGCTCAGCACTTTTCTAAGCAGTCTGTTGGCCTAGCAGCATGGATTGAATAATGATACTCTCTAAAGTCTCTTTGATTTTGTGTCTCTTGAGATCAGTCAATATTACATATGAAAAACCAAAACTGCTACATTGCAGAAGAGAAACAACAAGATACAGCTGCTGCTTCATCCTTCTCTTTCAGCTCTGTATGTCAATCATTTTTATTTATTTTTGTCAGAAGACCTCATGTAGGATGCATTCTCAGTGAGATTGGGAAAGATGAATGATTATTCACCACAGCAAAATTTAATTTCTTATTCCTTGTAACAAACAGCTGTGATAGGGCTGGAGAGGAGCTTCCTACATCTGTGACACAGAGCCAAGGTTGTATCACTTCCATGTGTGAGGTGGAGCACCCCCGAATCTAGCCAGCTGCGATGAGCTGTACTTGAAAACTCTCGGTTATTTCCAAAGGAAAACCCAAGTTCATTGAAAAGAAGCTTCAGAGCTCTTCTGTGAAACTCTTTGTGAACATCTTCTGGATAGCAAAGAAGTGTCTCATGGAGTGACTTCTGCTCTCAGGCAGCCTTGAGTCGTGGGAAAGCTGCACAGGAGCCACACAGGACAGCCGTTGTCTGTGCAATGTGGTCCTGTAGAATCCATCAGAAAGTTGATATGATATTTCAGATGTGCATTTCAGTCCAGACCAAGCCTGTGCCCCAGTATCCACCCATGTCTTCTCTGAGACCGATCATAAAAGGGAGTGTTTCAAGAGGCATGCGATGTCTTACTTTTCAGTTTTAAGTAAAAGACCCATTGAAGATGGTTTTCATTCAATATTCTCATGTTTAAACCTTTGAAACCACAAAATATCTTAGCACCCTCCTAAAAGAAGTATTTGATACAGGAAAAGTATTTTAACATTAGGTATCCTTTTCAAAAATAAATAATAATTAGGTTAAACGTTTGTACATTAAATCACCCCCATCTTATCTCCCTGATCATATTGTATACTTAAATTTATATATGCAGGCATGTATTCTGTTGGCAGGGACCACACAAATTGTGCCGGGGACATGAGGAAGGTTCTTTTCTGATTAGTTAGTATCTTTGTTTTACCAGTTGCTAAGTACCTTCAGTGATGTCACACCTTTCTTTACCTCTAAAATAATGAAGAATAAGCATAAACAAAACTCTGATTTTTCATATATAACATAAATGCATCATTTGAAATGCATAAAATAAAGAAAATATTTATCATGATATTCATGATGGTTTTCTCCTTTCAGAATCTACTATATTCCTTTATAAAAAATATTTCTTCTCTTCTGTATTACTTTCTGTCCACAGTTCCCCCAGTCACTCCTCCTTTCCATTCAGGGCCAGGATTTCCAAGGGATATGAAGCAAACACGGCACATCAAGTTATGATAAGACTAGGCACATCTCCTCATATTAAGTCCGGATGAGGCAACCCAGTAGGAGGAAAAGGGTCTTAATAGCAGACAAAAGAGTCAGAGACAGTCCCTGCTCTCACTGCTAGTGGTCCCACAGAGATACAAAGTAACACAGCCATACATATATGCAGATGGCCTAGGTCAGACCCATGTAGGCTTCCTGATTGTCATCTCAACTTCAGTCTCTCTGCGCCCCTCTGAGCTGAGGTTAGTTGATT